CATGATGTTCTGTTAGAATCGCTAAAAACTGTTTTCCAAAATTCGCAGCGGGTAGTGTACAGCATCGATTTCTGTGGAACCCAGTAGCTGTCAAAACTTTCACATTTTTACGAATAACTCGGAAATCGTAAATTTTTCAGGTAAAACGTTTGACACAAACTTAACTTAAATTTTGACGACAAATCTGAAAATCAATGAAAAAAGGGGCGGTTCCATTTAAAAAACCAAAGTTGGTAACTACCACACGTTTATGATACACCCCGTATATTGGAAAGTAATTTTAAAATGTGGACCTTTTAAACATGAAAAACTTTCGTAGGACGTATTTTCTTGTAAAGTTCAGATTTACTGAGATATCGCACTTTGACGCACTAATGAGCAACCCTGTATATTCTTGACAGGTATTTTATGATAGAACAACAACTTAAGTTCACACTACATTTTCTTTTAAATTTCGATATCGATTTTTCTGGTGCGTGATATTTATTAATGTTTAGCGACTTTTGTTGTATTTTAACGTGAAATCTTCAGTGCTCGATATAGAACACCCGTAATGGTTCCTCTTCAATCAGCAGTTTATCCGTAATAAGTGTCTAAACTTTGACTTCATTGCCCGCTTTTCTCATGATTCCGATGTTAAAAAATAGCTGTTTTTAAAGGGCATCCACAAACTTTTTGATCCAGTTTGAAAAGTTTGCTGCGGTTAAACAATAAGAAACTAAACTAAACAGGACCATTTCCAGGACTCGTTATGACCCGAAACAAAATTTGAAGTTTCTAAAACAACTGAAAGTTATAAAACTTCTAATGCACAGTCTACGTAAATCTCCCCGTGTAGTTGTTACCTTTTGAAGGTCATCATTAAACTTATATATTTTCGTATACGACTGATCGGCCACGTTTCCGATGATCATAATGACGCCCTGAGCAGTGTGTAGTATATGCAAAGTCGAGGCTCGATGGGTTTCGATTTGTTGAATTTCTGAGGCACTTGTCTGAAAATAAAATGTGATAATATGCCGCTGCTGTGTAGCTTGATGAGTTTTACCTTATCATCTTTGAAACGAATTATTGTACAATTTAAGTCGTGAGTATCGGTGATTGGGTCGTAATATAGCGCTAGGACAGCATAAGTAGTTCCACCTAGAGTAAAGAACTCAACTGCTCTCAGATATCCGGTAAACATGACTGGATAAGTATTAGTTGTATCGCTGATATTGCTGCTTCTTGTGCTCCAATGCAGAGTTGAAATATCATCAGTGCTATTAGCTCTAACCCAGAAATCTCAATAGAAGCCGAATTGCTAAATAATAATTCACCTACCTGCAACGCTTATCAGTGCTGATACTGCTAGTTTGTACGTGTATAGTGAGAGTATCAGTATCGTAACTATAAGTCCTCTGGCGTGCTTCACTCGAAATTAGGGCTACTGAAAGATGAGGGGATACCTCCAATGTATGCTGAATCAGACACTTGCATCCTTCGGGCAAACTGCATTGATCATGCGATTCTTCACTAATGATATAAATTAGAGTGTAGTCTTTAATTTTTGTCACTCTAGCATCGATCGCATTTTGGATTCCAATTTGAAGATCTTCCGATTTTTCAATATACATTAATTCCTTCGGCATATCTGAAATAAAGTGGAAAAAGAGTTATAGCTGCCGGTTAAGTTGATTTATCCGTACGTTTCACTTTGGGCAAGGATTCTTCAATGATGGATTTGATCTCGGGACTCATAGCGAGAATCTTTAGTTTTTCAGTATTGTTAGCTGGGTTATTCATTATTTCTTTGGTATTTTCGGGTACCGCATCAATATTGCCAATAAATTTCTCTGACTTTTGGCGCGTCTGAAAAATTATCAATTGAAATTATTCCGTTACCAAACTAGCGTTTTGTGGCTTACAATGGATCCAACAACGATGTCACTGCTTCCAGGCAATACTGCATTTTTGTAGGCTTCTGTGATGTTAATGCCGTTAATATTCTCAGTAGCGAGGTTTCCGAAGATCATAATATCCTGTTGAAACTTCTTCAAGGAATTTATTTTCTGCTCGCCAATATCGAATACCACATCTTTAAGGTTTACGTTGTTGATGACTGGTGTTGTTAGATCACCTATTAGAGCGCTACTTTACAACCAATATCATCCTCCATTCGTCGGTTTACCTGATACTTCCAAATCATCGAAGTAGCAGACTGAGTGTACAATCTGTTTTTTCGTAGTGTTGATCAACACTCTATTGGCCAAAACATCGCTGATGTTATAGTTGTTAATAAATTCAACATTTAGATCATTAGTGATTTCTATGGCGTCAAATATGGCATTGGGAATTTCACGTAAATTAGCCAAAGTTACAATGTTTTCTGGTTTCAGTTGGCCAACATTATCAACCTGAAACGTTGAAAATAATTGTTTTCTTATTTGCTGCAAGTCCGAATTCTTACAAACACTCTGTCAGCCTGCAGTCCTGCAAAGAACGTTTTACGTCCCAAAATTGTAACGTTATTAATTTCATCTTTTCGAATAATTCTTCGATAAAGTTCTGGTATGTACACACGGTTAACGAAAGGGATATCGGCGTTTTCCGTTATAGTTACATAATCAGCACTTATATGATTGCTAAATGTTTTATGGCCAGTTATTATCTGTTCTTCGTCTGAATCCGCCAACACCACGTCGTTGATTAGATCTGTTAGATTAATGTTGCTCAACAGGTTTTCTATTCGGACGTGATCAGCCAGAACATGTTCTGTAATGTGTACCTAAAATATATTTTAAATATCAATTAATAAGGATTTAGTTCGTTCGTCTTACTGGGGCGAGAATGATATTTCGTTTGGTTTTTTTAACACTCTTTTCAATAATTCGCATCAAATCACAAGTTTTGTCTAGGAAAGAAACATTTCCGATAATTTCAACCGAATTCCATTCTTGTGTTTGAGGGTAGCGAATATTGTCCATTGCTTTATGTATATCACATGGCCACATATCGTTAGATTTGATCGATTTTTTGAAAGTGGCATTTTTCAGTATTATACCCAGTGGGGCCGAAAGTCGCTGAGGTTTTTTCGACGATATGTCAATAAGATTCTCTACATTCATATCGTTGATCCGTTTGGTATATAATTGGTCTGCAATGGAATTTGCAATTGTTTCTTTGTCATTTTTTCATCAGCTACTTACTAGTTTTTAGGGTGGTAAAAGTGTATTTTCCAGAAACGGTTTGATTGGAGATTTTATGGAAATGTCTTCTGGTTAAATTAAGAAAGTCGATTCCATTTATTATGCGAGTTTTCAGATTTGTTATGTTTGCTTTGCCTGAAAACTTGACATCACCTAGAAAGGTGACTTCTTGGTTGATTTCAGATTGCTGCTGCAAAAGTAAATGTTTTGCTCTTATTGGATTAAGGATATTTTGATACCTTTTCAAGCAATTGGCGGATATCATGCGCATTTATGGTCTTCAGGTCTTGAATTTGCTGCAGCGTTACATTTCCTTTTATGTTGATTTGCTTGAAGTGTTTGCTCTTTAGCAAACCTTCCAAAATAGTCATGTACTTAGTTACATTAATTCCATTAATCCTTTCGACGCGTAAATTCTCAACTACAACTGAGCTTACAGAAACTTGATTACTATATTTTAATTGCCATCATACCGGCCACTCTTTTAAATGCCATGTGACTTAAGTTTTGAGATCTATCCAAAGATAGTACATTTTCCATTAATTTGGTGATATTTATGTTATTGATTAGCTCTGTATGAACGTTTCCAACTACATCACCTTCAACAGTGACTCTTTTAAACTTGTTGATGCCTGAAAACCGTTAAGATCATGCAACATTTGTTTCATTCATGTTCAGGCTAACATTTACCCGACAATTGGTTGGTATATAGAGTTACATTTGCAGGACTTGACAAACGGTTTGCCACCAGAGTGTTACGGAAAGTCTTCTTGCCTTTAATATGATATCTAAAATAAATCGATGGCTTATATGAATTTACAACTAAAAGATTTTTACTTACGGTTTCCCGTCATTTTTTACAGCTTCAAACGCGAGTTTCGAGAGATTAAATGACTGAGTGATTGCAGTTTTGTGCAGAACGACATTTCCGTAAACTGTAGCGTTTTTGAACACCAACGGGCCTTTGATTTGGGTTTTGTTGCTATTCACCGCAAAACGTTCCATGGGAACGTTGTTCAGATATTTAGTTTGCAAATGAGGAACTGTTATTCCTTTTTGGGCTTCAAGTTGCGTGGGTATGGTCTGAAAAACGAAAAATCGGTCGGTTAGCTGAATTATTTGGAGATTTTCAGATTTCGATTCTGGGTTTTCACTAACTTGATTGCCATCTTTGGTCCAATATTGGTTTAAGGCTTCCATTGGGAATGTGTTTCCATTAAGAGTCACGGTGGTGTTGGGTGAAATTGAAAAGTTATTCACGTATAGATTTCCGTGAACAGTAATTTTGCCGTGGTATCGCTGATGCAATTCAGTTTTATTGGTAAAACTGTTATCCTTATCACGGATAATCAAATTATTTTCAACTGCTATGTTTTGAATTTTCACAGGACCTAAAATAGTTTGTTTTTTATTTTATTAGTTACTAATTCAGTTTTTTGTACCCTTAACAGTTACATTCTGGTCAATGTGCGCAAAATTTGCCGGATTCTGACCATTTATCAGCTTAGAATCCAGCTTGAATGCCTGAATATTGTTGAACTGGATCGTAGAGTTGATTATTTGATCAGTAGAAGTAGTCATAAAATTTTTGGGGTCCACACCGTTTATTCTGCCTGCTTTCAAGTGGGTTGTTGTAAATTTTGGGCCGCTTATATTGCCTTAAAGTCCCAATGTTGTATATTTAAGTTTGAAGAAATAGGCAGAATTTTTACCAAAAATTGTGTGATCCTTTCCAATCTTAAACAGTGTTTCTTTCAAGTGGTTCCAGGTGATGTTGTCGATGGTTTCTACTTCAAGTTTTTCTATAGTGATATTTGAGGCAAAAACAAGATTGTTGGGTTGATTCAGCTTTCGAAGAACATCCTGTGCATCTTTCTATAAACAAGTTTTATGCGAGCGGAAACTATGTTATTGAGTTTTGTATGCGCTTACCCCGTTAATTTTGCTCACTGTTGCGTTTTTGGATGACACATTGTTAAATGATTTAACACCCTTGATTATCACTGAATCATTTTTCTTGTAAATTTGGTTCACTTCGATATTATTAATTGTTTTTGCACTTATTTCGGATGCAACCAACTTTTTAATTTTGAATTTTCCAGTTATTTTTTGAGTGGAATTTGATCTGAGAAGATCTACAATTTATTAATTATGATATTAATGTTCGGCGCTTCTTGTAAAAAAAACAAAGATTTTTTGACTTTTGAAAGAAAACCGTTTTTGAGCGGTCACGACTTTTAACCGACGAATTTTCCTTATTTTAGATCCAAACACTTTTTATATGCACATTAGAAGGCTTTTTGGGTAGGGAACAATCCATTGAGCGCAAAAAATTCGAATGTGAACTTTTGATTTTTGGCCGAAAATTTCATAACGGATTTATTTTAGTTATTTTCATAACGGAAAAATTAATTTCTCTCAAAATTCCTCGAACTATACAGCAATTTCATCTTACAACAGCGAAAAGTGCAACGAGCTAATTGGAAAATACGTTAGAAACTTTAAACCCGAAATATTCAACATTTTTGACTCGATTTGAGCAGTTTTTTAGCGGGCACGATCTTTAAACGGCGATATCTTTGCGTCATGTAAAATTTACAATTTTGATCGAAAATTTCATAAGGGTGGTCGATTTTTTGAAAAAAAATAATTTCTCTCAAAATCCCTCGAATAATACATCAATTTAATCTTACAATAGCGAAGACTGCAACGAGCATAATAGAACGAGAAAAAAAATTATTGCAAAATCCCTTGAGCTCTACATCATTTTCATCTCAAGAGAACCAATAATGCAGCGAGCTTCTTGAAAAATTCACTAGACGCCTCAGATCCGAAATAATCAACATTTTTGCCCCATTTTAAGCCGGTTTTGAGCGGTCACGACTTCTAATCGATAAATAATCGTCATTTGCGGTTCATTTTAATCGGTTTGTGAACTTGCACAATTTTTAACCGACAATATTTTCCATATTACAGTCCCAGTTAGGTGGGGAATATTCTTTTCTGATCGCTCTTTGTTCAATTTTGCCTGACTCAGTCAATAAACTTTATCATCAGTAAATAAATTGAAAACCTTTAAAGATGTTGGCGGTTGTTCCATTAGCTACTAGAATTTTTGACTTCAAGTTTCTAATCCAAACAGCTCCAGTTATAATTTGCTTCCCATCCGACTGTAGCCACAATTCTGGTGTCCAGGGTTTCCCGTTTATTGTATCAAACCTCAAATGATTGCCAATTATATTTTTTGCCTTAATGCTGCCTTTGATAACTGCTTTACTGTTGACCACCTGAAAATATCATTAATTCAATATCGCCACATTAGACCGTCTAGCCCAAATTTAAAAAGGGCATTTTACGCTTGAAAATGCACTTGCTACTTATGGAAATTACATTTTTTGGAGTTTTTGTTTTTAGGGTGAAGGGCTAACAAAGAAATCGACTATTTACTCACAAACTCGTTTGGGAAGTTTTCGGGGTTGTTTATAAGCTCCTTAACTCGCTTAAGTCGTTTATCTAGGTTGTTAAACTGAATAGTTATGTCTGTACCCTGAAATTAAAACAAATCATTCTTCAGCAGTTCTTACAGTAATTCAACTTGCGTACATTAATTGTAGAATCAATATTCGTTTGTCTTTTTCTGGGACTTGAATGAACATTTGCTTGATTTAGTTTGCTCCTTGGATCGTAAACCTTTTCGGCTAAATTATTGAAACAGTTCCTTAGTGGTTCGCCTTGTTCTCGCTCTATAAAATAGACAAATTGAAATTTGTTTTACGACTGTTATATCTAAATAATAAATTTACCCATTTCAGCGTGTGCCTCGACATACATCCCATAGATGTTTATCGTGTAATCTTCGCTTAAACCCGCTATAAAAGTTATATTGCCTTTTTCATTTTGGCCTTTGTTGATGTCCGATATAATTGAAAAGTTCACTACGTATCTTTTTGTCTGGTGAAGCACGATATCTTCATTTTCAGCCTTGAAGAACATTACTTTCTCCTGGAAAGGTTACACAAGAAAAAGAGGGTTCGCAGTGTGCATTTAAACAAATGTCTTGGGTAGGATTAGGTTTCATAAGTTACTACTTGCCAGTTGTGGGTGCACAATTAATGGTATCGAGTTACTGTAAACAACCATTGAATTATTGACTTCATGTTTCCACTCGAATTTCTTTACGGCGACCATTTCGAAACCTGAAATTAATATCAGAAGTTTTCTTGATAGAAGCAATTATGTTCACATAATTTACCAGTCCATTTAAACAGCCGCTGTCTGTGGGATTCTTCATAAATCAGAACATAGGGGACATGTTTCTGGATAAATATATTCATTTGGAAAGGGTTGTTAGTGTCTAGCTCCTGTATTTTCGTTGCTTTATCATATTTAAACTCGTAGACTGATGACCTAAGCTAAAATGCATTTGATTAAAGAATTGCTCAACATTTTTTGATTTGCAACCTTAAGTCCCGGCAATTTTCGTTCAGCTATAAATATTTCGGATGATCTCCATGGAAAACTGTCAATTTTGATTATCCCTGTTGCTTGCACTTCTTCAATGTGGTCAAAGTATGAACCCATCCATTTATAAAAGCTGTAGGTATACAAGGTTTTATCGAATTGGTAGAGGTATTTTTTCTAACTTACGTCAAATGGCCTATGTGATGGCTTATGTTTGAACTCAACACAAAGTACAAGTTATCAGCATTGGTGAAAAAACGTCCATCGGAAATATACGGACTCCAGAGTTTCTGTATGAGTTCTGGAGTTGTGCTGTTCTCATATAACAAGTAGAATTTTATATCCGATTTGTGGCTGATTGCTAGGAACCCAGTTTTTTCATATTCAAAGCTCTGAAAGGTTGGCGGCGTGCGCTAAAAGTATTTTAGATGTGTATTTGGTAGTTAGTTACCTTGAAGATTTTCCGGTTTCCATGCTCAAAGTCCCCATAGGGCTCCATGCTTAACTCTTTGTGCATAGTTCCCAAAAAAATGCTGTTACCGATCACAAAGAACGTTTTGTTGAACTGTGTGAATATATTTATGCTGGGGTTGGGCATTTCACTTGCCGAACGTCTTGGGTTCTCTATGACTGCTCTGGCCACTGTATCTTCACCTTCTAAAAGTTGGCCTTACTTTTTCGAAATTTCACACTAATTTCTACGTACGGGTTGGCATATGTTTCCTCAATCTCGGTTGTACATTTATTGACTGATTTGCGAGGCATTCATCGAGGGCGGCATTTTCTGCAAAGCGTGTTTCACTTAGGCCCAATAGGGTCTGAAAAACGGCTTGTTGTAGGAGGGAGAAATCTATGTCTTTTTATTTACTCACTACTAAAAAACATGCTAAGTATGTCTTCATTTTTCTAAACACGGACACCTTGTTCAAACACCTGGCTGCATCGATCTTGGTTTCACAGTGCTATAAAGTATATACCAAAAACGTTTTTATCGCCCAAATATTTAGCATAGCATGTTAAACATCCACTGACACAGACTTTGTATTGGCAAGGACTATATATTGGCATGGCAGGCTTGCAAATACCTGATAAATGGGCCTGAAGCGATTTAATCAGAATAAAAATTTGATTAAGCTAAATGAGGGGGTTAAACCGGAATCGAGCATATTCCCACAACTCGGCCAGTGGGTGGTCAGTAAGGGCATAGCGCCCCGTATAATCCCGTCTTTTTGTTCGCAGAGTGGACATGAGGGCCATGTATATACGGATACTGACGTGCTATAGATTCCCCATCCCTCTTCCCAGATCCGGGCTCAAAGGGACTCTTTAAATAGGAAGAGTTTGAATAAATTGCTTTAATTTCGGGTTGTGTGCCACGGTTTTCTCATTATTGGGTTTCAAATTTGGGGGTGGGTGGCCAAACTTCTGAGCTCAGGTTTCAAATTTTCTATTGATGGGTAGGAAAATTGTAGGGACAGCCCTTAAAGTTACAAACATTGCAAAGTTCTCCTGTTTTTGTGAGGAGAGCTTGAAATTACTGTTTCCGAAAATTTTCTCCATCGGAGGTGCGTTTTACGCAAAGCGTTGTTGGATGAAAATGAACATAGCCGGAAAGTGATAAAATGTGGAATCCGGCCCAGTAGATTCTCCATCTATACTGCCATAGCCCGCGTACATTTACATGTTATTTGCATTTGTTGATCGCTGGTCATTTATAAGCGAACCTCGGTATATGTCACTGAAAGATTAGTCTGTCACTCAAGCGGTCCAGCATTATATCATGGTCATTCTTTCGCATTGAAATGGCCCGCTTTAGATTACAGGCAATCATCCTAATATGTAACAAAACGGCATTCATTTATATCTATTAAATGAACCCTAAATGCGGGACTATTTTGTTATATCACGCAAAAAAATCCGTCACGCTGGGCTTGGTTCAGTGGGAACATGGAATCTGTCACAACATTTATGGGACTCTTGAAGCAGTACTATAGGGAAAGCAGGCTTGATTAGTTTTTATTTAGTGCATCAGGTTTTAGCTAGCGAACTCTTCAAACGGCATCATGAAGACGAGGTAGGCACCGCAGAAAATTTGTTGGCCTGATTGGAGTGAGCGCAATTTTCAAATTAACCCTCAAAGTAATTTAATATTGAAAATAGGGGATCAATACGAAATAGATTCCAATATATCAGGCTCTGGTTGTCGGTAAGTCTGCCTGGTCGTATTAGTGGGGAAACTGTCAAGTCGACAAATCTGTTTACAGCATTAGGATATTTCAGCAAAATTGCATCGCTCGGGTGGAATTTAATACGCGAATTGGTATATACATTTCAGGACTACCCTATTTTAACTCACAATTGCGTGTAACCATTATGCTCGGGGTTTAAAGGGGGTTAATCGAGCGCAAGACTTTGTTGAACTGACTTTTTTTGAGAAACTCACTTTGATCGGAAATTCCTGAAAGTTTCCCGGATTTTTTCGGTTACAAAGGCGAGTCGACTGACCGTTAGTAAACACGAGCTTTTCAAAAATTCGTCCAGGACAAACCAAAAATTCCTGAATGCATCCAATAACATCACTCGAAACAGAATGTGGGCTGCTTTGAGTGAGGAAACACTCACTTGATTAGGAAATTTCTGGGAGTTTCCACGATCTTTTCAAGTTACTAACGCGAAGCGATTGGCAGTTAGTTTAGATAGACGGATTTTAGAAAAAATCTCAAGGAAAAACCAAAAATCTCTCAAGCTTGCCCAGAATTCGAAATTCGAAAGCGAAAATCTGCGGCTTTAAATGAGGAAAACATCACTTTAATAGAAAATTTCTGAGAGTTTCCAGCATTTTTTTCAGTTAATAAACTAAGCCAAAAAACACAACTTTTTCAAAAATTCGCCGAGACAAAAACAAAAATTTCTCAATCCGGCCTATAACATAATTCGAAAGAGAAAGTCCGCGGCTTTAATTGACTAAACACCCACTTTGATAGGAAATGTCTGAGAGTTTCCAGTATTTTTTCAGTTACTAAACTAAACCGAAAACACAACTTTTTCAAAAATTTGACAAGAAAAAGCCAAAAATCCAACAATCCGGCTGATAATATCACTCGAAAGTGAAAATGGGCTGCTTTAAACGTGGAAAGCGCACTCTGATAGAATCTTTCTGGGAGTCRCCAGGATTTGTTGGTAAACATGGATRATAAAAATATTATCATGGAAAAACTAAAAATCCCRAAGACMGTTCAATCTCTGGAAAAAAKTCCGCGGCTTTATTTGACTAAAACCCACTTTAATAGGAAATTTKTGAGAGTTTCCAGTATTTTTTCAGCTACTAAACTAAACCGAAAAACACAACTATTTCAAAAATTTTACAATAAAAAGGCAAAAAACCAACAATCCGGCTCATAATACCACTCGAAAGTGAAAATGGGTTGCTTCAAACGCACGGAAAACGCACTTTGATGGAATCTTTCTGGGAGTCCCCAGGATTTTTTTGGTAAACACGGATTTAAAAAAAATGTCATGGAAAAACGAAAAATTCCTAAGACTGTTCAATCTCTAGGAAAAAAGTCCGCAGCTTTAAGTGAGAAAAAACTCACTTTTACAGGCTTTTAATTGCTGGAAGTTTCCAGGATTTTTCAGTTCCTAAGGCGATTTGATGGCCGTTGGGACACCCGTTTTTTTTCCCAGTTTTTCAAAACTTTGTTGGGGAAAAACCAAAAATCCCTAAATCCAGCCCGTCACATCACTCGTAAGCAAAAATCCGCTACTTTAAGTGAGGAAGAATTCACTTTAGTAGGAAATTTCTGGGAGTTTCCAGGATTTTTTCGGTTACAAAGACGAGTCGACTGACCGTTAGTAAACACGAGCTTTTCAAAAATTCGTCCAGGACAAACCAAAAATTCCTGAATGCGTCCAATAACATCACTCGAAACAGAATGTAGGCTGCTTTGAGTGAGGAAACACTCCATTGATTAGGAAATTTCTGGGAATTTCCACGATCTTTTCAAGTTACTAACGCGAAGCGATTGGCCGTTGGTTTAGATAGACGGATTTTAGAAAAAATCTCAAGGAAAAACCAAAAATCTCTCAAGCTTGCCCAGAATTCGAAATTCGAAAGCGAAAATCTGCGGCTTTAAATGAGGAAAACATCACTTTAATAGAAAATTTCTGAGAGTTTCCAGTATTTTTTCAGTTACGAAGAGCTAGATTATTGTCATGCGACCATCTTTTCTTTTGACTTTTTTCACTCTGCTAATTACCGGTGTCTCCAATACAAGAGTGTTAGAAAATCCATGGAAAATGCGATCTTTAACTTCCCAAGCCAAGCTTTTACCCACCCACAACTGAGCGCAATAAAAAATCGCGTTCTATAAAAGTCGCTCGGCCTCGCTGGCATCGCTTGGCCACTTTCAGATCGCATCGTCAATCAAAAACATCTTTCCCGCAGTAATTTGATTGAATGAGCAAAATAGCTGTGCTCCATCTGGCAATCAACCATTACTCTTTACCCCTAAAATGCGGTTTGTTTTTTAAATAAATTTCCGTTAGTTATCGGGCCTACTTAAACCGACCAAATATTAATTTGCATGTTTATGCTAACTGATAAAAACAAATTACGCTACGCTTATGCGACTGGGCACGGTATTTTGACAATGATTACTGACGAATTCTATTTTGTTATTTACTCTCACCGAATAATTCTAATTAGTTGCGATGTTTTGTCCGTGCCATATCCGGCTGAAGCGAGAGAGGCTTATTGCAGTTGAAAAACGAAAACTATCCTTTCGCATAGTGCCCAATCGGAAGCGGGCTGATTTCAAACTGTACCCCATTTGATCGGAATTATAATTTTTTCGAATTAAACAAATGCATTTGCGTGCCGTATTATAAGCATTTACGTGACAGTTATGTAACTAGATAAAGGAAAAGAATGGGCCAATTAAGTTAATTACGAAATGAAACCCCGACAGTGCAGATTCTGAAGTCGGGATGTCCTACGAGGCTCAGCCGCGGGGAGGAACATTTTCAGGTCCACACTCACCCCCAGTTTAAACGAGATCTAATATGCCATTCACATTTATCCAATGCGCCTATTTAAAAGGTTAATGTGAAACTTGTGCCATTGGGATTACCCCAGGTAATAATTGTTTTTTGCATTAGTAAAGTATATTGAAGAAATTCATAAACCTGCAAATAAAAATTTGTTATCTGTTGGACTGAAAACCTCAGTTGAACAATGTTAAAAGTCTTAATCCGGAAAGTGGACGCAATTTTATATTCAGTCATATTTGCGAAGGTCTATCGCTAAGTTAATCATCGGGCTCTGACTTCGGGGCAAAATTTAATGTTTTAATCGGATAAAACTGCTCTCACACATGTAATATTCGTTGAAGGTTCAGTTGAGCATAATCCTTTAGGCTTGGTGTACGTATCGCATTTTGAGTTGAAGTTGATTACTGTAAGCTAACTGGATGTCATGGAAGATTTAACTCGGTATTTAATTATTTGCAAATTTTTCATATTCCTGCAGGCATTTCTAAGCTTTGTTTCAGCAAGTATCGATTAAATCTTGGTAATTTAACGAATTTTCACAACACCAAGTAAGACTGTTAATTTTCCGCGGTTTGCGTTTTAATCTTATCAGCTGTAATCAATTTAAAGAAGTTTAAAATGATCGAAACAGGGGAGTAAATCATTTGTTGAGAAAAAGGAGCTCCAACAGGGTGAAAATAAAGAAATTGATAAATCTGAAAGACTCAATTCTTCTTTAATTCGATGTTTATTGGCTTGAACTACTTCTTTGATTAAAAGAGGCGGGCTCACTTTTATTTTCCCTTTAATGAAATAAGAAACTCCGCGACCTGATTGAACTAAGCCAAGATGCGCCAATTTCAATCCGTAAATTTGATTTTACGAAATCATTTTGTTACACCCTCGGCAATAAACGACTTTTCGAATGAAACTGAGCGGTTTTATGGGTCTTTATCGCTACATATTCTA